CCCTTCCTCGGAACTGTTGGTGGCTGGGAAAGCGTCAGTTTATATGCAGAAAATAGGGATGTGGGTGGGGTAGGGAGTAAACAATAGGATAGAGCCCAAAGAGAGAGAAAGACAGTTGGACAGACAAAGGAGTTGCTAACGATCAGGCTGGGAAGGTGAATAGTTGTTAATGGGGACTACTGGTGACTAACAACAGTGGGTGTGTAATGGCAGGCGAGGTGGTACCAAGGCCTGGTGTGTGGGGTGGGGGGCTGGGACATGGGAAACTATCCTATCGTTTACTCCCTACCCCACCCACCTCCCTGTTTTCTGCATATAAACTGACGTTTTCCCAGCCGCCATCAGTTCTGAGGAAAGGTCACCGGACCCGAAACGTTAACTCTGTTTTCTCCTTCACAGATGCTGCCAGACCTGCTGAGCTTTACCAGCAACTTTGTCTTTGTTCCTGATTTACAGCATCTGCAGTTCTTTTGGTTTTTTTCCTCTTGTGCTGACTAACCTGCTGAGAATTTCCAGCAGTTTGTTTTCTAGGCATTGTGGTGTTCACTGCCCATGGCGTCTGTTATTCTTGGTCGAGATGAGAGGAACATGTACAGCAGCACTTAGCAAGAAGTCATCTAGAAACTCCCGACTCATGGGAAGAAATTCCAGTGAGAGTTTTGTTAGGAATTTCAGCACTGAAATCTTTATCACTATTATTTGAAATTGGTGTTCGGGTATCTGTGTTTTCCTCTCTTGTCATGGTTAAATGAATTGCTAATCTGTGTGCAAAGTTGTTTCATTTGTCCACCGAATACTTCAAAAGTTAATAGAGGAGGTCTGTCCAATATGACCATTGAGTCTTCAGTGCATGGATGATTGCCTCTTAGTGCAGCAGTAAGTTTCCCAGTGGACACATTTACAGTAGCTACTGATTATTACTGTGTACTTTGGCTATGAAGGTAACAAATGGATCTAGCACTTGTATTAATCGTGTGCTATTTTACTGGTGTTAAAGTATAGTACTGTAAATACCTTGGTGAAATTGCTCTCATTTGTCAGTTCAGAAATAAAGTCACAAGATAGAGGAAGAGATTTATTTTGCATTTAAATAAAAAGTGTCATAGAAGTAATGGATAATGACAGCTATGATACCTATTTTTCTTTTGCATGTGAGAAAGAACTATAACTCTCGAATAAAAGTTGATCTGC